TGAATAGAAGTGATAAGAGTGGGTATTTTTTTGCGTTGTAATAGATACTATTGGAAAAGCTTTTAGTTTCTCCTCATTGATTATAATGTTAGCTGTGGATTTTTCGTACATTCCCTGTATTATGTTGAGGAATTTTCTATACCTAAACTGTTGAGAGTCCACATCAAGAAAAGATGTTGTGGTATCTTAAATGGTCTTCTATAACTCATACATATGATGTAGATTATTCTGTGGTTGAAAAATGTTAAAAATTGTGTCTTTTCAAGGTAAAGAAACCTATTACCACTTTGCTTAATATTGCTTTTCTATTGCCTAAGAAAATGTTATATAATTGTAGGTAGCTCCTGTATTCTTTGGGAATGAAAATGGTTATGCCAAAGAATACTTCATTCCTTCCAAAATGTCCTTTTTCTTCCTGCGGAATACCGCTACTTAGTGGAAATCACAGCAAGACCAGCAATTTCTAGATAGTTCATAAAAATCTGGGACATTCTGTCAATAGAAAAATAAATAGCTATAGAAAGGCCTCTTATGAGTTATACCTTAGTAAATGCTTTTCTTTTTGTAATCTCATAGGAAAATGGAATACAGCTTCCACTTTTAAAATTAAAAAAAGAAGAGGTGTTGGACTTTGTCAGATACTTTTTCTGCATCAATTGAGATGATTATGTGGTTTTTATCTTTGACTCTGTTAATATGTTGAATCACATTGTTTGATTTGCATATGTTAAGCTAGATTTGCATGCCAGGGATAGATTTTGCTTGGACATGATATATAATCTTTTTAATGTGTTATTGGATTTGATTTGCTAATATTTTATTGAGAATTTTTGCATCAGTGTTCATCAGAGAAACTGGCCTGTAGTTTTCTTTTCTTGTGATACCTTTATCTGGCTTAGGTAGTAAAGTAATACTGGCCTCATAAAGTGTAGTTGAAAGTATTCCCTCTGGCTCTATTTTTTATTATTTATTAATTTGCTTTTCTTAGAGACAGAGTCTCACTCTGTCACCCAGGCTGGAGTACAGTAGCATAATCATAGCTCACTGCAGTGTCTGAACTCCTGGGCTCAAGTGACCCTCCTGCTTCAGCCTTCCCAGTAGCTGGGACTACAGGCATGTGCCAGTGCACTGGGCTAATTTTATAATTCTTTGTTCAGATGAGGTCTTATTTTGTTGCCCAGGCTGGTCTCAAACTCCTGGCTTCAAGCTGTCTTCCCACCTTGGCCTCCCAAAATGCTGGAATTACAGACATGAGCCACACTGTGCTTGGCCTAGCTCTACTTTTTAGAAGAGTTTAAGAAGTATTGGTATTGATTTTCTTCCAATGTTTGGTGGAATTCAGCTGTGAAGCCACCTTATCCTAGGCTTTTCTTTGTTAGGAGGTTTTGATTACTTCTTCAATTTCTTTATTTGTTTTTGGTCTGTTCAGGCTTTCTAATTCTTTCTGACTCAATTTTGGTAGGTTATATTTTTCTGAGAATTTATCTACTTCCTCCAGGCTACCCAAATTGTTTATAGATAATTGTTCATAATAGTCCCTATGATCCTTTTTATTTCTGATACATCTGTTGTAATTTCTCTACTTGCATTTATTATTTTACTTATCTTAGTCATCACTCTTATTTTCTTAGACTAGCTGAGGGTTTGTCAGTCCTGTTTTTTTCAAAAGCAAAACTCATAGTTTTATTGATTCTTTTTATAGTTTTTCCTTTCTCTATTTGATTTATTTTTGCTCAGGTTTTGATTTTTTTTCCTTTCTTCTGCTAATTTTGGCTTTAGCTTTTTCTTCATTTTTTAGTTCCTCGAGGCATAATGTTAGACTATTTATTTTGGAGCTTGCTTCTTTTTTAACATAGGAATTTATTGCTACAAACCTCTCTCTTAGAATTGCTTTTGCTACATTCCATAGGCTTGTTATGTTGTGTTTTCCTTGTGGTTTGTCTCAAGGTATTTTTTACTTTCCCTTTTACTTTCTTCTTTGACCAATTGGCTGTTCAGCAGTACATTGTTTAATTTCCACATAGTTGATCATCTGTGGTGCTAGGAGGTGCTCCTGCTTAGGTGTGCCAGAGGCTTGGAGCCCCAGGGTGCAAGGTACCACCTCACCTGTGATGTGTGGTGGCAGCAACTACTTCAGTGTTCAGGAGGCCTGAGGCCCTCTGAGGGTGGGGTGCTGCCTCAGCTCTGGTGCAAGGGAGCTCCCTCAGCCAAGCTCAGAGCCTGTGAGGACTGCAGGATTCTCCAGTAGCAATGACTGCAAGTGTGAACAGTAGTGAGAGAGGTTGCTGGGGGTATCTTGCTTACCTTTTCCTTGCAGGGAGCTGTCCTTCCTTGCTGGTTGTGAGCTGATCCCCACTTGGGGCATGATGTGGTAAAGGTAAGGTGTTTCCTTTCCTTCTCTATGTGGCCATCCTGGGTTTCTGTGCTCTACAGGATTTCTACTGGCTGCTTTTTTGCTGTTCTCCACCGTGCTCCTTTAGTTATTTTGGTTTAAATGTACTTGTTTACTCATTTGAAGGTAGCGGGGGGCTTGAAGGTGTATTATCCATTCTCACACTGCTATAAAGAGCTACTTGAGACTGGGTAATTTATAAAGAAAAGAGGTGTAATTGACTCACAGTTCCACATGGCTGGGAAGGCCTCAAAAAAACTTACAATCATGGGCAGAAGGTGAAGGGGAAGCAAGCCCAGCAAAGCAGGAGAGAAAGAAAGAGGGAGCAAAGGGAGAAATGCCACTTTCAAGCCATCAGATCTCATGAGAACTCAGTCCTTATCACAAGAAGAGTGAGGGGGAAAATCCACCCCCATGATCTAATCATCTCTCACCAGGCCCTCTCCCCTGACACATGGAGATTACAATTTGACATGAGATTTGGGTGGGGACACAGAGCCAAACCATATCAGAGGGAGAGCACTAGGAGCTTCTGGCCAACCATCTTGATGTCACTTCTAATTCATTTTCAAAATGATGAGTAGGAAGAATTCCATGTTCCTGTTAAAAACTAATTGAGCGCGGTGGCTCAAGCCTGTAATCCCAGCACTTTGGGAGGCTGAGACGGGCGGATCACGAGGTCAGGAGATCGAGACCATCCTGGCTAACACGGTGAAACCCCGTCTCTACTAAAAAAAAATACAAAAAACTAGCCGGGCGAGGTGGCGGGCGCCTGTAGTCCCAGCTACTCGGGAGGCTGAGGCAGGAGAATGGCGTGAACTGGGGAGGCGGAGTTTGCAGTGAGCTGAGATCCGGCCACTGCACTTCAGCCTGGGCGACAGAGTGAGACTCCGTCTCAAAACAACAACAACAACAACAAAAAAAAAAACTAATTGAGTGGTTTTAATATGTTCTATCAGAAGTCTTGACCCAGTGGCTTAATATAACCTCTACTTAGCAGACTTGTGACCCTCTCGGGAGTGGAAGAGCCAGGAGAGACCTAAAAAAAAGGTGGCGCTACCCCAGGTGTCTCATCTCAGCCTTTTCTTCCCCCTTGCCCATCAACCACTCTCTCCTTCTAGAAGTATCATTTTAAAAGGTTTTGACAATGGTGAGATAAGATTTAATGTGGGGCACGGGGACAGTGAGGCATAGCATATTATCCTGGTGTAGAGGAGCTGAATACCTGAATGAATTTACTCACAGGTCTTTGCTATTCTGTCCTGATCTGCGGGCTGATAGAGGTTCTCATCAGTGATAAATTAATTGTGTGTGAATGTGGTTCTGTAGATGTCAGCAAACTCCTTAATCTAATCTCTTTGTCTTGTTTTAGATTAATGTTAATTGGGGATGGGTATATATGTATTTTCAGATTCCTACCCTTATCACATCTTATCTTGTTTTAACTTATGTCCTTGATAAGGATTTACCAGATGGAAAAACGAGGTGTTTGGTAGATAGAACTTACCTTTGAAATATGCAGTCTTCCAAATCTTACTAAGCAGGTCACTGCTATTCAATATATGCCAATGAAAATGTTATCTCACCTTTTTCATGGGTGCAAGGCCAGCCCAAAACATTTTAAAAGAGCCCAGTTCATCCCCCAAATTACTATGCTCTTCTCTCACCCCTTATTGCCTCTTTTATAAGATACTCAAAGTTCTTACGCAGCCTGAAAACTTCATTGTGAATGCCCCCTCCAACCCACTCAAATTCTAATGTAGCCTGTGTTCCAGAAATAGCTTCCACTGTTCTCCCTCGACATAGAAAATTTGCAATAAGTCTAACATGCTTGATCTTGGTAAAGTATTAAGGTAGGTATTACACTGAAAATAATCTACTTCAGCTAACTTCTGCCAAGTTGTGAATAACTAATACCTTCCTACACCTCGGGGGGCAGAGGTTGGAATGTCTTTGTAAAAGTGATTGGCTATTAACCCAAATAAATTTCTACTCAGTAGAATTTCAACTAAAGTGGTAAAAAAGAAACATGGAACATACTTCTTTGAGAAGAGGAGCATAAGAGATGGGGAAGAAATAGAGGTAGAGCCATGTAAGCCTGCTAACCTTGACCTGGTTTCCACTCCTCCCATTCATACTTCCGAGCTGTTCTCACTTTTCATAATTATTCCCTTCTCTCTGCTTCTGAATTAATGAGTTATCTTTCCTCTCTTAGTTTCAGGGTTAGCAGCTTCTGTGGAAGCAAGTAAAGTGGTTCTGGCTTTGGGGACTATTTGGATGGGGGCCCAGGCAGGTAGAGGAGGAATAACAGAATGACAAGTGTACTTCAATGTGCATAGGCTGCTTATAAATTATCTTTGTAAATCAGACAGAACTGCATTTGAATAGAAAAGTATAGAATATCTCCTTGTCCTTTTTTAAGAAAACAAGTGAGTGAATCCACGTATGGGAGGGCGAAAATAGACCAGGATGTAACATCTGCCAATATATCAGGAACATGCTTTTGTATGTTTATGTCTACATAAAGTGCTTACCAAAGAAGAGACATTTCATTATATACCAAGTTAATTTTTATGTTTTTAAAAATATCTTAATATTTTCTCTTTAGGCTAATAACAGAACCTTGCAAGAGAAGATTTTACAAGTAAACAATTTGGTAGAAGCCTTTGGCAATGCCTGCACTATTATAAATGACAATTCTAGCCGATTTGGAAAATACTTAGAAATGAAATTCACCTCTTCTGGAGCTGTAGTGGGAGCACAGATTTCTGAATATCTCCTGGAAAAATCCCGAGTTATCCACCAAGCTATGTAAGTTTATTTCAAACCTCTCCTATTTTGGAGGAAGCAGAAGCAAACATAATGCTTTAATAGTAAAATGTCTTTCTCATTCAATAAAATTTTGTTTATCACCTACTATATGCAAAGCACTTACCATTGAGAATGAAGAGATCCATCAGCACTGTCTTACTCTCAAATATATATAACATTCAATAGAAGAATTAATAAATAACCTAAAATTTGTGCTGCCAGATGGAAAGCCTAAGCCCATCATAGAGGTACTAACAGCATAAATTAGAGACCGTTCTGACATAGCAGAGAATATATTTATCTATACAAAATTAATGTGAAATTTAATTCGAAATAACTGAATGCTTTTCTCTTTTAAATGCTAGCATATATAAATAGACATTTGTATTAATTCTATTCTTCCTATGTTTATACACAAGGGGCCAAATAAAAGATTCAAGAAGGAGCTTTATCGTATTGACCTTTTATTGCTGACTGATTTTAGCCATCAATACTCTTCATAATGCTTTGATATTAAGTTGAATGAATTCCTTTTGCGGATTTGTAGCTTAATGACAAAGTTTCTCTCCTGTCTCACAAAACATCTTTGTTATTCTAATGAGGAAACTATCGTTACACATTGGATTTGTACCCTGGTAGTTACATTATTTTGTTTAAAAGCTTGGCAAGTTAGAATCTTTCATTTTTCTTATGTTGGTTTTATGCTAAACATATGCTACATTATTGTAGTAATATGTCAAGTTAATTCACAGTAACATAATAAGCCTTGTTGTGTATTAGTACATTATTATTTAATGTAAGTGCCTTCAAGCTTGGTGTCATTCAATTCATGAGTAAGTCATGAATAGAAGTTGCCTGGAGTCCAGCTCCTGAGCACTAGCCCCAGTATGGAAAATTACCCTTTGGTCTTCAATTGAAAATATGGAAGGAGGCTGGGCGCGGTGGCTCACGACTGTAATCCCAGCACTTTGGGAGGCTAAGGTGGGCAGATCACAAGGCCAGGAGATCGAGACCATCCTGGCTAACAAGGTGAAACCCCGTCTCTACTAAACATACACAAAATTAGCTGGGTGTGGTGGTGGGCGACTGGTGGTGGGCACCTGTAGTCCCAGCTACTCGGGAGGCTGAGGCAGGAGAATGGCGTGAACCCAGGAGGCGGAGCTGGCAGTGAACCAAGATCGTGCCACTGCACTCCAGCTGGGGTGACAGAGCAAGACTCCATCTCAAAAAAAAAAAAAAAAAAAAAAAAAGGGAAGGAATGTTTATTAGACACATGTGGTTTTCAATTGTGGTACCAGACCATTTTAATCCACCTTGGGTAAGATATTTAAACCTTAAAGATCCTTACAGGATCTTGGCTCTGTAATTCATTGTATGTAGGATTTGAAACAGTTTACTTAACCTCTCTGCACCTCTGTTTTTCATCTTTAAAATGAAATGGCATTAGTACCTATCAATTAAGACAAGGTATGTATAGTATGTACCACAATGAATGGCATATAGTAAGAAATCCATAAGTTTAAGCCATTAGTAGTAATAGTAGTATTAATAGTTGATTAGAAATAACATATAGCACAGTACCTGGGATATTGAAGATGTTCAATAAATGGTAGATACTATTTATTGATGCGTGTCCAGTGCCCAAAACTCGGTGGACATGTGTGTCAGTGCTATTGCGGCCCATAAGTAGAAGGACCTCAGGATCTTAGCAGATGTGGAAACTTAGCTAGTTCTCAAAACTGTTTGTTCTGCTCTCATAATTGTGTAAGCCTCTCCTTCAGGCCCTTTGGGGAGAACTACTTAAGAGTAACTAATTGGTAGATGGCACCACCATGTTGCACAATATTAAGGGATATCATTCACGGTGTATTCTATGGAGCTGAGTGCAGGAACACAGTTCATATAGAATAATACATGAACATAACCCTCTGGAGTTACACAACGAGGCCCTGAGCGTATAACCATAGAAATAATCCCGTTAATGCTTACTGAAATATTGTAGGATGCATTCTAAGAAATAGCATAGTCAGGATTATATTTAAGGCATGCTATGAATTAAGTAATTTTTCCCCCTAAGGAACTATTCTAATTTTACAACTTTGCTTATTGGGGAAAAGCATTCCAAATTCCAAATTCACAATCAAGTGGAAATATAACTCAGTTATAATTTGAGCACAGCTGTCTTTAATTTATAACACTTTTTCCATTTTTATGTTTTTTCTTTCACCTAATTTAATTGCATTTTTAAGTTCCAGAGGAGCTTTGAGTGACCTATGAATATGAAAATATTAGACCTGTGATTGATGGAAGAATTCTTAATAGGTACCTTTACAAATTATAAATTTAATTGCACTGTTATCAATCAGGGTACTGAACAGAAAGAACAAGCTCTAGGGTTTTAACTGAGAAAACTGTTTACAGAAGTCACATGAGCATTGAAGAGCCAAGAAGAAATGGTGAGATGCCCATGGACTAACAGGGGTGAGGAGCCATGGCTGCCTTCCTGTCTGCAGGCAGAGGGAGGGGCAGCACTAGTGCCTGGTGCCAGCTGCAGCTGTGGATCAGGGGCTGCCTGTCGAGAGCTATGGCCCTAATGGGATGCAGCCGTTCAGGGAGAGAGCAAGGGGATAACGTCCCAGCCTCTCTCTCCTCCCTCCGCCTGTTTCCTGCCTGTGCTTCCTATTGGCTGAACCCATATGGAAGCCAGAGAGCAAGGGAGTCCAGGGATTGCAGGCTGTAAGGATTGGCCTTTAGGGTCCCAGAGCAAGACAAAGAAGAGTGTAGAATGATCTGAGGAGTAGGGAAGAATCAGAGCAGACGAGTATCTTTTTTTGATGAACTCACCCTTTAAGACATTTTGTTCTTTTCTTCACTTTTTGCCTCTGACAATGTCATCCCAGCTCAATCTCTGACCACATTTATTTTTAGATTACCTTTCTAATGATGATGATGGTACTATCTTATAACCTGTGACTTAAATCCTTTTCTAAACATTGATAGTTTTCAAGGAGAAAGTTTTAAAAGAGGCTACTTAATTTCAAGAATAAAATGAACCTATTGAAGGCAATGCTAGATAATTCTCATAAATACAAATTATAGCCATTTCCACTGCAGTTTCCTCCTGTTATTACAGTTCAGTTCAGCAGGCATTGATTGCATTTCTCTCATGTCCCCAGCACTTAACAGGACTCTATAGGAGACATAAATAAGTGGCAGACATGGTGCTCTCCATTGTGGAGAAAGGGAAATGTATTTATGGAGCAGTTACTCTATGTCAGTCACTGCGCTAAGCACCTTACAGTCATTATCTCTTTTAATTCTTGTAGTCATGTGACAGGGTGTCATCTTCTCTTTTAAAAGTGAGAAACTAAGAGAATTTTAATAAGTCGCTTAATGTCAAAAACTTAGCAATGAATGAGTTGGAATTTGAAGCCTCGTCCGTCGTGTCTGACTCCAAAGCCCACCATCCATCCATCCATCCATCCATCCATCCATCCATCATCTATCCATCCATCTATTTGACACATATTTATTGAATGCCTACTGTGTGCTAGGCACAGGAGACATAAAGCCAAGTAAGGCAGGATTCTTGTGGTAACACAGCTCACACTATGATAAAACTTGCTGATCACTCATGGTTTTCTAGCCTCTCATGAAAGTAAGAAATGAGTTCATCTGCTAAGATTCAGCAGGTAGATAGCAAGAGAAGGGGACTGAGGAGACTGCATATCCAGAAGGAGAGAGTTTATAAGGTGGGAGCTGTGATTAAAAAGGAAAAACTAAAAGTGTTGCTTTATGGATACCCTGTAGTCCCTTAAGAATGCAAAGCTTCATTATTAGCTTTCTAAGTCTGATTGTTGGCCACTTCATTGAACATTCAAAGATTTCACAGGAATTAAGCTACATCCTTGTGAGTACTTTGCCACCGTTTGAGGCTGTCAGAGGCATTGGCTGCACAGGTAATCCCCAGGATGCAAAGCAGGTGAACACACATATGAGACAGCCCTGAAGGCCTTTCTGCAAGCAGCTGAGTGGAACTCACTCTGAAGAAGTGTTAGAAGATCCACAAGTAGGAGTGAGGCCACAATCAGAGAAATGATATTTGGTAACTTGTAAGACGCTGTGTCTGTCCTCAGGCAGTCCTGACCTGGGAACCCCTGGAAACATTAGCAAGTGTGGGATACCGTAATGCTCTGTGTTCTTAAGCACAGCTTGATATGGTTAGGGACCCCGGGTAAGCTTTGGAGGTGTGTTCTTTTCCTGTTTCTTTAACTTTCTGATTGTCCGTTGAAGGTCAGTATATTCCCCAAAGTTTCTCCAGATCTTTTCAAATTATAATTCCCAATAAATGCAAACTGATGAAAAGAAATCCATTAATATTGTGTGTCTAAGTTTTAACACTTAACTGATACGATGTACAATTAGTGTACATTGTTAACAATCACAAATGTTAACTGATACAAATGTGTTTGTGATTAACACTTAACTGATACAATGTACAATTAGTGTATATTGTGAACAATGTAGTACAGTGTTAACATCACAATTGCACTATATTAGTTGATGTTAGCAATCACGTTGTTAGCACTTAACTGATACAATGTACAATTAATGAAGTGCACAATCAGTGTGCTTCATTAGAAGAAAGCAAACTGAATTATATGCTGTGCTAGTCGTAGAGAAGTTTTTATTATTCTGTGGTGAGAAAAGACAAGAACTAAAGGAAACTTTCAGTTTCGTTCTAACTTCAGTCATAGGCCATGTTGGTGTTTCTTGCATTATCACTGGTGACTGCAAAAAGTAACAGAATAGGATGAGTTCTGAAGGGTGTGCCAGTCCTCACTTCAGCACCCAGTCTCTGGACCACCCCTTTTCTTTAAACCTTCACTTTTCTTTGCCCCATGACTAGATTCTCCTGATTCCTCTCCTACCTCCCTGAATTTTTCTTCTGTTTTAGATTTATCCATCCAGTCTCACACTGTGTATTTACCAAATATTTGTCCCTGCAGCTTTTCTCTTTTGTTCTTTACACTCTCTCACTTCACAAATTCTTCTGACGTTATGGCCTCAACAGAGAGCCCTACGTGATTGACACCCAAAGACATACTTCTCCCCCTCTCTTAAAACTGAAAAAAGTTTGCATTTTTAAAAAATTTCCAACTACCTACATATCCTGCTACCATCTCAAATTCAACTGAATACACATCTCAAATCTATTTATTTTCCCATAGCCCCTTTCTTTTGGAATGGGACTATCCTTCTCTAATTATATAAGACCCCCTGACTCTCCCTTCACTCAGGGGAGAGTTTCAGTGCAGAATGCATACTAACCAATAGCATTGTTACTTTTCTCTTTAGAAAATGTCTTCCTTCCTTTTGAAATACTAAAGAAGAACAGAGATCTGCATTATTCACCTTATCAAGCTCTACCTTTTCATATTAAGTATTTCAATTTGTTAACTTTCAAGAAAGACCAAAGAGAGTACCTTCAATAGTTATTAGTGTGTCACAAGTTATCAGATCTTCAATGTTATTTTAAACCTACATGACTGATGTATTGGAGTCCTTATTGAGCTTCTGTAAAAATTATTCTTGTAATGGCTTTTGGCAGAATGTCGGATCAAAACTAGAGATTATAAAATAAAGCCACAGTTGTTCTGAAACTCGAAATTTTACTGCATTATTGGAAGAGTAAATACAGATGGATATATTTGAGTTACTGTTGATTCTGAGGAAAACTTCTACATACTGAATGAATAATTTCTAAAGAGAGCAACAGTAAATTTACATCTCTACTGAGATGATACTGCATCATGTACAGGGGGAGAAGACCCTGGAACGTTTTTAAGTCCTTTCTTACCTTTTAAGTAAAATAATTTATGTATAATTATGCATATCATGAAGTGGGCTTTTTTCTGTTTCATATACTTCATATAGAAAAGAATTCAAAGACCCCTCTGTTCTACTAAAAATAAGTTTAATAATAATAATTCCTTTTCTGAAAATATTTCATTGGCCCCCTAAGTTTGCTGATAAAGGCTGTGGAGGGGGTGAAGGAAAGGAGCAGGGCGAGAGGGGATACAAGCTGCCCCTGAAGTTTCCATCTTGGGTGTGATGAGTTTAGGACCCAGAGCACAGTTCAGGTCACTGCCAAGAGTGGCAGAAAGGGGAGTATCCACAACAATTTAGTGTCTCCTGCCCCAATCCCTATGGTGACATGCAAAGCTTTGTGGTAGGATGAGAGTTTTATACCAACGGAAAGAGAAGTAACAATAGAAAGAAGTGAAGACAGCAAGGCCTTCTGGTTGAGACATTAGAATTAATTTAACCACTGTAAGAAGAATCCTACCCTGCCCCAACCTGTGAGCCTGGTGAGCCTGGTGATAATGGAGTGAACAGTCAAGTGAAGTTTGAGGACCACTCTCAAACAGGAGGAGGATCTAGTAGGAGGACGGGAAGGGGAATGCCACAGGGAGATGCAAACCCCAGGGTGTCCCAATTGACCACTAGGTTCATCAAGAGTGGAAGTAAAACAGGGCAGTAGAGACGGGAAAACTATAGAACAGGAGGTTCATCCTCTGCTGTTTCAGCAGAGAGCCTGAAATTGTGGTCTTTCACTAGAGCCCACTAGAGCAGAAGGAAGACATGAGGGAAGGAGGAGAGGGGACCCCAAGGTCCAAGAAATTATGTTGTGAAACATCCTGAAGTGGAAACTTACCTTGTTGTAATCCATATTCCCTTAATGACATTATTGCAGCATCTGGAAAATGCTATTTATACTACTTAGAACCACAAAATCATGGGATTTGAGGCTTATAAGAAAGAGATTCCTCATACAAGTGAGAAAACTAAGCCTCAGAAAGACAATATTCAAAGGTGGTTAAAGGCATGGGCTTTGGAGTCAAATAGACCTGATTCAAATCTATATTAATTATCAACTCTGTGGCTTTGGGGGAGATTGGTAGCTCTAATCCTCGGTTTCCTTCTACATAAAATAGGAAACACATGCCCATCTCAGGGGCCTATGGTGGGTTAATGAGATAATGTAGCACTTATAACCATTGGCATGGTTGTGTACATTATTCTTTTTTTGTCTGCTCCACTGGCAGGTAAACTCCAATGAGTTAGGGATTTTTGACAGTTTTGCTTCTGCTATATCCCCAGTGCCTGGAACAGTGCCTGGAAGTCACTCACAAATGTATATTGAATGATTCCTATGAAGTGATTAAGATAATGTCTGGAATTTAATGACGGTGGTTGTTGAAAATAATGACAACAATAACGACCACAGAAAGCCAAAATGCAGTATTCAGAAAAGCCCATATTAGCACTCACAGTCATTGTTCAAATAATTATATTGTCAAGTAACTTAAACAATAAATATTCTTACTAACTCCCTTACTGAAAATATCTTTTTTTCCAGTGGAGAAAAAAATTTTCATATTTTTTACTACATTTATGCTGGTTTGGCTGAAAAGAAGAAACTAGCCCATTACAAACTGCCTGAAAATAAGCCTCCCAGGTAATCTACCAGGTTGTACTTTCATCAATAATACTTTCACTTTTCACTTAATTTTAGACTTTTATCCTTCCTTTTATATATTTTTTAGGTACCTACAAAATGACCACCTCAGAACAGTACAAGACATCATGAATAATAGTTTCTATAAATCCCAGTATGAATTAATTGAGCAATGTTTCAAAGTCATAGGTTTTACAATGGAGGTAAGTATGAAAGACACTTGAACCTCTTTAGAAAGTATCTTTTTATCATCATTAATGTTAAGAGCATTTATTGAGTGATTAATAGATACCAGCATAAGTGCTTTACATATATTAGAACAGCCTTATGAAATAACTGGAAATATAAAATTTACTTTATGAGTGAAGAAATAGTGGCCTTGAGATATAATTGAATTTAGTTTTGTTCTTAATCTTTTATTTTACTTATACTTACATTTCCCATATACATATATGGGAAATATACATAAACATATATATATTTTTTTACATAAATGCATAAATGTGCATGTTCTTTTTAGTGCAATCTTTTTAATAACTTTATTAAGATATAATTTACATACAATATAATTCACCTATTTAAAGTGTGTATTTCAGTGACTTTTAGTATATTCATAGAGATGTGTATTCATGACCATAATCATTTATAGAATATTTTCATATTATAAATTTTTCACCCCAAAAAGAAATATGGTAGCAATTAGCATATTTCTGACTCAATTCTGACTTCATCCCTACTTTCTATCACTATAAAATCTGCTTTTTCTGGACATTTTACGTACATGGGATCATATAATATGTGATCCATTGTGACTGGTTTCTCTCACTTAGCATAATGTTTGCAAAGTTCATCCATTTTTGTAGCGTGTATCAGTACTTTTTTTGTTGTTAAATAATATTTCATTTTATGGATATACTTCATGTTATTTGCCCATTCATTAGTTGATGGGCAACATTTGGGTTGTTTTCAGTTGTCTATTATGAATAATGCTGCTATGAACATTCATGTACAACTTTTTGTGTGGACATAAGTGTTCATTTATCTTTGATATATACCTAGCAGTGCAAATGCTGAATAGGGTAACTCTGTGTTTAACTTTTTCACTAAATTGTTGAACTGTTTTCCAAAATCGCTGCACCATTTTACATTCCCACCAGCACTGTATGAAGGTTCCAATTTCTCCACATCTTCACCAACACTTATTGTTATCTGTCATTTTGATTATAGTGATTCCAGTGGATGTGAAGTGGTATCACTTGAGGGTTTGGTTGAATTTACCTAATAACTTATGTCTGTGGATCTTTTTTGGAGAAATGTCTGTTCAGATCCTTTGCATGTTTTCTAATTGGGTTATTGTCTTTTTATTATTGAGTTGTAGAAATTTTTTATATTCTAGGTACTAGCTCCTTATCAGATATCTGATTTGAAAAAAAAAAATCTATTTGTTATATTTTCCCTTTCTTGATGGTGTCCTTTGAAGCACAAAAGTTTTTAAATTTTATGAAGTTCAGTTTATCTATTTTTTCTTTTATTGCTTATGATTTTAGTGTTATATAGAAAACCAAGCTCACAAAGATTTATGCCTAAGCTTTCTTCTTATAGTTATATAGTTTTAGCTCTTACATTTAGGTTATTGTTCCATTTTGAGTTAGTTTTTGTGCATATTGTGAGGTAGGGATCCAACTTCATTCTTTTGCTTCTGGACAATCAGTGTACCAGCACCATTGTTGGCAAGATTATTCTTTCCCCATTGTTCTTGGTCAAATATCAACTAACCACAAATATATAGGTTTATTTCTGGACTCTCAATTCTATCTCATTGATTTATATATTTATCCTTATACCAGTATCACACATGAGTATTGTAGCTATGTAATAAGTATTGAGATTAGGAAGCATAAATCCTTCTACAACTTTGTTCTTTTTTTAAAATATGTTTTGGCTTTTCAAGGTCGGTTCCTTAAACTTTAATATAAATTTGAAGGATCAGCTTGTGAATTTCTAGCACCTTTAAAGAAATTTTTTTTGTTCAGCTCTCTCTTCCCCATCTTACCTCCTTAAATCTACATCTGCTCTCTTTCTCCTCCCCTAGCTAATGGACGTATGCAGGATCCAACATTCCGTATTTACTTACCTAGTCCTAGAGTCTTGTTTATAGATACACACACACACCCCCATGCAAATGTGTACACATGCATATATTTGGTGAGATGATCATTCTTTTATTAATATGGGATTATATTACACACACTTTTCTATATCTGATTTTTCTTACTCAGCAATACCTGTGAAAATCCCTTCAAATTACCTAATATATCACTGAATCACCTCTTTTAAAGGCAGTAAAATGTTCTACAGTGTGTACTACCATAGTTTATTCAGCCATTCACCATGACTGGGTATATAACTATAAATGTTTCTGGATCTTTGCAACCATGAGCAAAGCTGAAGTATGTCCTTAATGACTTGTTCATTTCTTTCTATGAAATAGGTTCCTAGTAGCAGAATTTCTGGGTTAAAAGGTACATATATTTTACATTTCAATAGAACTTGCAAGATTGCCTTCCAATAATCCTGTAGCACTTCACATTTCCACCAACAATACATATTAATACCCTTCCCTCGCTCATTCCTGCCAGCAATGTGTTGTGGCTTTTTAAATATTTCCTAGTCTGGTGGGTGAAAGTAACATCTCATTTTAAATTTGCATATCCTTGACAAATAATATATTTGAACATCTTTCCATTTGTTTGCTAGCTGCTTAGATTTACTCTTATGAATTGTATATTTATATATGTTGCCCCTTTTATTAAATTATTTAGATGCTTTATGTCAATTTGTAAGGGCTCATTGATTATAGACATATGTTTCTATCATTTGTGTTATAAATGTTTCTTTATAGTTGTATATTTGTGACTTTTTGTCATATTGTTTACCATAGTGAAGTTTTAAATGTTTGTTTATTCAAACAAATTTACCTTTTTGTTCATAACATCTAGGTCTCTAGTTTCGGTTAAAAAGTTTTCCCCTAACTCTAGGTTGTACGTGTAGTCTCCTAGATTTTCTTGAAAGTGAAAAAAAAATTTATCTTTAATCCATTTGAAATTTATTTTATGGTACCAGATGGAGCACCACTTTTCTTTTATTCCAGATGGAGAGCCAGAATTGACTTATCCTATATTAAGGCCTTATATGACATGTAATCTATTTTTGATGCCTCTATTTTAGCCATCAATCTATGTTTTCTATTTCTATAGCAGTATTCTGTTGACTTGATTACAGTGGTTTGATTCTGTATTTTTCTAGTAAGGCTATTCCTGCTCTCACTTTCTTCTTTTCCATACTTTCCTTAGCTATTGTTTAGCATTGCTTGTCCATACAAACTGTAAGATCAATGTGTTCAATTCCAACAACCTCATTGGGACTTTTAATTAGAATCGTATTGAATCTATATATTAGTTTTTGGAGCAATATCATTTTCATGATATGTATGTCTTCTCATCCCAAATTATGAAATGACTTATGTACTTTTTGTCATATGATTTTATGTTTGTTTAGATGCTGTTTTGGGTTTTTAATAATAATCTATAGTTATATTCATCTAGAACTTGCATCTTATTTTTAAATTTATTAACTACTATGTTAAGGTTTTTATTATAAGTAAAATGAATTTTCCATTGGTAGAAATTTTGAGATATATAATCATGCCATTAGCAAAAAAAAGAGTTTTACCCCTTTCATGTTATATCAGTCATTTATTTTTCTTTTTTATACTTAGATCATCTAAGACTAGTCTTAATCAATATTAAGTAATAATGATTATAGTTGGCCTCTCACTCTAGTTTCTGATTTTAAATGGCTTTAGTGTTTTGCTATTTTTTGAAAAAGAATATTTATCGTAACTAATTTCCTTTTATTGCTGTTTTACTTAGGGTTGTTATTAGGAATTCTGCTGAATTTTACCAAATATTTTTTTCAGCAGCTATTGATATAATCATATTTTTTCCTATGGCAATTTGTTGATGTCTCCTTATTATGTTGATAGATTTCTTAATACTTAAATATCCTTACATTTCTGGAATAAGCCAAATAGAGTCCACCTATATTATCTTTTTGATAAATTTCTGTATCTATGAGCTAGTGTTTTATTTATAATTTTTGCATCTATATATTTAGCAATGAAATTTATGTACTGTTTTTGTTTTCTTTTATATCAAATTTGATTATTAAAGTTATGCCAGTGAGCTTTTTTCATTTTTTCTTTGGCCTATGTGAGTTAAAATCAGTTCCCAATGTTCTCTGAAGATAAGAAGCACCTCGACACACATACATGGGTGTTACCCAGACCTACCATATAGAAATTTCTGAGAGAGATCTAGTATTACAGCATCCCATTAATTCTTATCATTAGAGAAGATTGAGGACAATGTCTTTTAAAACTTTAAATAAAGATTAGGGGCCAGGCGCTGTGGCTCACGCCTGTAATCCCAGCACTTTGAGAGGCCAAGGCAGGTGGATCATGAGGTCAAGAGATTGAGACCATCCTGGCCAACATGGTGAAACCCCGTCTCTACTAAAAATACAAAAAATTAGCTGGGCATGGTGGCAGGCGCCTGTAATCCCAGCTACTTGGGAGGCTGAGGCAGAAGAATCACTTGAACCTGGGAAGCGGAGGTTGCAGTAAGCCAAGATCACGCCATTGCACTCCAGCCTGGGCAAAAAGAGTGAAATTCCATCTCAAAAAAAAAAAGAAAGATAGATAGATTAGGGTAAAACTCAACTGTGTCTGACCCTTGGGCCTTTTTGATACTGAGTCTTTAATTACCTTTCTGATTCTTCTATGGTAATTATCTTTTTGAATTAGTTTTTCTCTTTTGGGTTATTTGTATTTTGCTAAGAAATTATCATGAAATCTTATGCCATAGATTTTCTTGCTGAATTTTCTTACGATACTTTAAATTAATCCCATTCTGGCTTTGTTTCCTTTCTCATTCCAATGAGAAATTCTCATTTTTGCCCTTACTCTCTTTTATCTTTAATTGGGTTTACAGGGGGTTTTGAATCTTAAAAAAAAGAAAAAGGCCAAACCACAACAGCTATTGGATGCATTTTACCCATCTGATAAATGTTTTCATGTCTGTATTATTGGTTTTAATTTGATTTTTATATTTTTATTATTCATTTGTTTCTTCTGTTTTTTTTT